GACTAGATATTTTTAAAAATCTAAACTACTGTGGATCACAACCACATGGAAAAGTGGGCAAATGATTTGAAAAGATAAAGTCACAGAAAGGAACTATAACAACTCTTAGTCATAAGAAAAGACATTTAGCTTCACTCCTGATAAGAGAAATATGAATTAAAACTACAACGCGACACCACTTTCACCTATCAGACAGGCATCAACAAGTTGGAACACCTGCCAAGGTAAAAAGGCAACAGGCAGTCTCTGCACTGCTGGTGGGTGATGAATTTACACAACCATACAGGGAGCACTTTGGCAAGGGCAGCAACATTTAAAACAGACATGCCCTTCACCATCAATTCTCCTTCCGAAAATTTGTCCTGCAGATCCACTCTCATGTATGTGTCCCGTGAAGTATGTCCAAGGTCCCCCCTTGGAACCCTGTTTATATGAGCCAAGACTGGACACAACTAAATGTTCATCAGCAAGGGACTGGTCACATAAACTATGGTACATCGCACCACAGAGCTCACGCAGCATTTAAAATGAGGTGGCGACCTTTTATGAACCAAGCAGGAAGGCTCTTGAGGACACTTTAAGTGACAAGAGCAAGATGCAAAACAGCATGCGGAGTGAGCTACATTCATCTGTACAATCATCTGTAGGCAGGTAGGGAGGTAGATTAGTTGATTTACATCTATGAGCAAGTATATATTTAAGAATACACAAGAAACTGTCTAGCAGTGGCTGCCTCCTAGAAGAGGACATTAGTGTCCGGGTGGGAAAATTGTCATTTTATATCCTTTGGTAACATTTGAATTTTGTGCCATATGCATGCATTATCAAAAAAACAAAACAAACAAACAAAAAAACCAACCAGGTTTCTTTGAAAGAGATTTAAAGAGTGACTAACCAGCGGCCAAAATTTAAGTGTAGTTCAAACAATAAAACCATGGCCTATAACAGTAATTCTACACACCTCAAAATGACCAAGTGCAAAAGGATCACAAAGATCATTCCCTCTGATCTTGGTGTTTCTTCAGAAAAGGGTAAGTGATTTGTCCACAATAACTGAGCAGGGCAGGGCAAGAGCCACCAGGGG